TGCCCTATAATGATAACAATAATTATAATAATAATGATAATTATCATCATCATCAGAATCCTTATTATCACTATAATTATTAGATAGTATACTTTGAACAGTGTTTCATACTAGCTTCAACTATTGCTGCGAAGTCACCACTCACCAATGGAAATACGATTGTATGATAAATTTAATTTCTTAGGTTACCACTTGAAAACGCCAACTTTAAGATCGGTATAGTGAAGCTGCAACTCATAGCCAGGAAAGGTTTTTGAACAGTTAAAAATTGCTATTTCTGTTATTTTAAAACTACGTCGCGTTATCTGCGCGGTTTCATTTTAAGTGCTGAAGTTAAGAGTCGCATCAGCCCAACGGAGAAGATATCGTGATTTTCTAAAAAAGAAAACGCGGATCACTAAAAGTGCCAGGGCAACTTGAAGTTTGGTGTCCGAGTTACACTATAAACTCAAACTTACTTTAGCACTTCATAATTGCAGCGCTATTGAAGTGCATGCTTAAATACCTTTTCATGGATACAATTTTTGATACCTCTTAAACTAATGTCAAGTCGCTTGTGAAGTTTGGGGTTTCTTTGCGCAGCTCAACATAGCAGTTTAACATCGATAGCCCATACAAATGTTTCTCGTAACATTTTGCAGGTTTCAGCTATTTAACGAAAAACTAAAAAAGCTTATGAACATGAAGATCGCTACTATAATTTGTTCAATCGTTTAAGTGGCATTTCTAATTTTACTTTTTTTTATCCCTTTGATACCATTGGATGATCGGATGACATAAAGTTTAATTTGTTTTGGTCAATATAGTGAGAGATAAGATCCATCTTAAAAAAAAAAAAAACCAAAAGTGACCGTGCCGGAGTGTAAACACGTTAAAGGATATTACTAAGGTTAGTGGTTAACAAAATCAACTTTCACAGCCTTGATAAAAATCCAAATTATACGAGTACCTAAGAGTTGCTTTCTATTTTTTTAAATATCCTCCTTTTAGTCGTTTTGTTTGTTAAGTACGCCAGGTGCGCTTTGTTCTCAAATTTGAATGAAGAGCACAATTAATTTTTTTCCAACGGAGATCTCAGAGTGTCTACCAGGAAAGAGCAAGTTAAATTTCAAGAGATAAAATCCTCAGATCTTGGATGAAAAGGTATTTTTTTATCATGATGGCTTTTAACCTATGTACAGTTTTTATGCTTACAAATTCTCCGTCCACAATTGAACCTTTCTGAAACAGCTGATTCGACAAAACTGGCGCAAAAAATGTACTTCTAGAGGACTGTTTACATGGAGGAAGGTAAAGGTTGTTTTTAACTGATTTCAATTTCTCTGTTTGTGTAACCTAGCTTAGCAATAAACTACCTTACATGAAACAAGCAGATCCGAGAAACAATGATGTGAGAACTTAAATTCAATGAAGAAACCACGTGGTAAGTTCATGTAAGTAGCAAGTCAACGATGAATATAAATTTTTGTCGAAAACAGCTCAATCAAATCAACTCGAACATAATATGTGAGAAAACGTATCAGATAAGCTTTGGTACTCTCAGCTCGCCAATGGAAAGAAATCATGTACATAGTCTACAATCAGTCTTCACGTAACTTAACAGTTCCTGCACAGATCATTGGAACCAAAACCTGACCTGATTTGGTCTAGAATAATGTCATCGCGATATTTTTCGAAGAATGATGCAAAAATAACACTTTTCATTGAATACTGTAAAAGTGTTTGGATATTTTAAGTGTATGCCACTTATAATTATTACAGGGCAATCAGAACCCTCAGGTACATGTAACTGCAGACAATGCTACTTGATTACCTTAAGCAGGCAACGAGTTAACGTTAAGAAGCTCGCGATTGTTTATTCAACCGGCCATGTTTGATTTGGAGATAGAGGCGGCGGTAGGGGAGGGTGCGGGGAAAGCCAAAAAAACCTTGCCCGAGGAGGCTGTTATCAAGCAAAACACCCCCAATCAATTGCCCGTCACTGCATTTCCGGAAATGAGAATGTTACCAATTAAAATGAGTTAAATTAAAAACCGGGGGTCTGTCATCCGACAAAGACAAACATACGTAGAGCCGATGAGTGAAACGGTGACGCAGTTTTTTCGGTTTTTTCTTCCATTTGATCGTAAACGATATTTTGAAGCAAACAAACAAATACGCTCACAGGTTTGCCTGCCATAATTTGTTTGATGCAAACCGGCATCTTCTGTTGAAGCGATGTGGCTGATGTGCTTCGCCAAAACCTCTCCTGCTGACGCAAATACATATATGTTATTCGCCAGCCGGGAGGTCCGTATCGAGACCTCTGGTACACTTTTTCCCAATACGGACCGACCTAGGCTGGTGAATGAAATTTTTATTTTTACCCTTAAACTTAATGGAATCCTTTCCATTTAGGGCTGTAACTACTTCAAGATCTTTCATAAACTGAACAATTCTTCGACGCCTAGGGACGTATAGCCCCAAAGGCAATTTCCGCCACAGATTTTCTCGTCCCAAGTCAAATTCGCCTCAGGTCGTCTCGCCTTGCAAGTCATTCTTGGGCAGTTTTGCCTCAAGTCGTCATGCCTCAGGTCAAATTCACCTCAGGTCGTCTCGCTTACCAAAAGAATATGCAAACAAAGGAATGAAAGCATACAACGTGAATCAAATATAGTTTTACTCTTCTACTGTTCTTTATGTCTACACCGTAGTAGAACAATGTTGAAATAGCGGAACTGTGAGTTGAAAACTCAGACTCTGAGTTCAGCGCCGAGAGTCATTAAATATCCGCCCACGGTAAGACTAAGTAATAAGCCGTGAATGCTGCTTTAAGGCCAAAATTTAATAGAAATCAAAATCAAGAGAGTTTAATTTTGAAGCAAGCATCCCGTAGACGCAGATTAAAGGAAGCATGTTGAAAAGGTGCACAGATCGTAGACAAAAGTCTGCTATGATCTACTGATCTGCCAAAATCTTAAAATAGGGTTGTAATCATTCACATACACATTCCAAAATAAACTAACAAGGGGAAATCATTTCTCCTCTCTGTATACTCAGATTACAACCAGTTATGAACCAGTCGAATTTCAACGCAGAAGCTCATAGTATCATTCCACAGAGTTGCCTTTTACTCCATCCTGGGCTTATCACGAAGGCTATTTTGACAACTGCTTACGTCGTCTTATTAATCGCAGCCTGCACCGTAAATACCATAGTTATATACTTGGTGAGGACGTGCAAAGACTTACGACAATCTACATTCAATCATCTTATTATCAATATGGCTGTGGCAGACATTATGGATGTCTGTTTTTCAACGATCACGTCTCTTTTATTCATGTTTGTTGGTGTAAACTGGATTTCGGGCTACGGAGGTAAAATCTCTTGCAAACTTGTATGTTTCAGTGTGTCTGTTTCAATCGGTCTCTCAATCTCCACGCTCGTGATTATGTCAGTGGATCGATATATGGCAATTGTACACGTAATGACAAATCCAATATCCTCAGCAACAACGAAAAAATGTATAGCCTTGAGTTGGATAGTGTCAGTCCTAGTGGGTGTTCCCTGTCTCTACAAGATGGATACGAGAGAGAGTGAGGGCGGAAGTACAATATGTCGGTCAGTATGGAGCTACGATCCAGAGGAGCATCTACTTTACAGCACGTTGGAGGAATGCGGCAAGGTTTTGATATTATATCTACTCCCTTTGATTTTGTTGGGAACGACAAGTGTTATAATAGGTCTTTCGCTTCGAAAAAGGAGACCGCTTGGTAACAGTGAGACACAAGAGAGGATTAGCGCGCAAAATCAAAGGATATTTAAATTGTTAGTTTCCATCGTTGTTCTGTTTTCCTTCTGTTGGCTTTCGCCCATGTAAACCATTTGATAAGCGTCCTTAGTCTCTCAAAGTATTGCGCTCTCCCAGCACCCGTTCCGCTCCTCTTCTTTTGGATCTCTCATACAAATGCTGCGATTAATTCCATTATATATTTTATATTCAATAGAAAATTTCGGCAAGGACTGAGAGAAGTCTTCAGAGTAAGAGAAACAATACCCCTTCAAACAAGACACATTGTTCCTCACAAAAATTTTGCATTCGAAGGAATGGAGTTTGCAGAAAATATCGCCATCACGGAAATCCGTAGATCGAAAAATCAAGAAAGCGTAGAACGAGACAAAGATTTGGAATTTGATACAAAACTCTAGCTCAATAATCTGTAGCTTGAAACTAACATTGTCTTTTATGGCAATGTCTGTAAAAGCGTGTGGTGTTAGTTTCATATTCTTCTATATGTACTTATAAATGTATGTGCTTTAGTTTTAGCTAGAGTCAACTGACGTCATCGTTCAATAATAATACTTAAAACATTCTTTAAAAAAATGGCGACGATTGCAACTCATTGGTTTAGCTAATTCCTCTTGACTCCTCTTGTAGCCATGACGTAAAAGAGAGAGACCCTTTTCAAAGACTCCGGGCGGACAATGAGACAGAGAACGCGTGGGAACGAGGCTTGGGCACGGGTTACACGATTTGTTAGAAGTGTCACAAAAAGCTTCTTTGTATAAATCAGGTGCCAACTGGGCAAGAAACGATTGATTAGATTTGGTTCTTGGCATAAATAGAAGGTTAAATTTGGAACATTTAATGAACTAGCTGCGTTTAATACCTTGTTATATGCTTCGATACTGAACTAAATTTTTACATGAGTTCTAAAACACAAACTGGCGCTAAGCATATGCAAGTCCATCGCCTTTATCATTAGCATAACTCACATTATATTCTAGAGTGTAAAGAGTGACATTTACTAACTGATGAGTCATCACGTCACTAACCCAACTACCTACCGCAGGAAGTATTCTTTGTGTGACGTCAACATCTCGAGATTAGTCATCTTTTTGTTTATAAAATTGACTCGCACGCAATACACTCAAGGCTGAATAAATTACCCTAAAGAAATATAAACAAAAACAAAACAAATGCCTCGTCATGATTTTGCATCAGGACTTGGTTTGAAGGGCAGTAAGCATTATCGGTGCAGAACCGTTTAAGATTGCAATTTTCGTTTCAGTCCTATATATGTAGCGCTAACCTCTGAACAAAAAATCTAACAAAAAGTGAAATAAGATATTGGACTTATAGACTGATAATAGCTTGAAGTAGTAAAAGGAAGCGTGTGATGACAATGCTTTTGTTCGTTTGTTTTCGCTTCCATGACAATAGAAAATAATATAGGCATAGCCTTAAGACGGACGTATTTACGTTCAAAATAAATTCCTTGTACTTCGTCGTGAATGTGTTCAGCTGTTCGCACACAGTATACCGGAGGCATTTTTTTTTTGTGACTAGTTGGTGTCCTTAAAATCGCAGTACTAGAATAACAGAACTGTTCTGTTTCGAAGAAAGGCATGATCCCAAGAATGGTGGTCTCAACCAAGGTAAGTAGAACAACACTTACATATTTCCAAGTGTTTTAAAGAGAAGGAAAGTTTTGCCGATCTCGATAATATAAAAAAAGTTCATTAGCGACATTTGAATATGAGAAGTGTTGAAGTCAATTCCAAACAGTAGTTTTCTTCGAATAGGGTCATCAGATCTTACATGTCTTCAATCGCGTGATTTTCTCTTCGAAATAATTCTGAGCTTTAGTCATTGGAGTTAGGAAAAAATGTCAAACTTCAGTCCTTTAACAGTTTCGTGTTCACGGGTCAATATAAATATTTCTCGAGGAAAAAAATGCAAATTTTTCGACGTTATGCTCAACGAGCTTTGTCGACTGAACTTAATTTCATCATGACATTTTCTTCAAAGTTTGATTAGGAAAACGAAGATGTTGGCACCTTTCAAAGATATCATATTTCAGTTTATGTAAATTGAAATTTGGATCGAAGATTTTAATTCACTCCCGGACAACAATTGGATTGCCATAATTTTGACAGGATGAGCGCCGTAGTTTGTATATACCGTAAATTTTAACGATTTTTAACAGTTCAGTGAATACGATCCAGTTTTTGTTTCTTGTACCGACGCGATTTGAACGGAAAGTGAATAGTAACTCGGGGTAAGAACCTTCGCCAAACGAGATTTACTTCAAATATGGAGAATAGAACATTTTCACTCGCAGAGAGAATAATACATCCCTTCCCCATTGCCTAAAATTAATAAAAGTAAATAAATAGATAAAGTAACAAAGACTTTTTCTTTCAAAGTTACAGGGGCTTTCCTCTATTATTCTGTTTTCAAATGCGATCGAGCACTGCCATGAAAAACCATCAAAAGTTAATTAATTCGATCTCTTTAATCGCCAGCACCAGTTACTGATTTCGTCTCTACTCATTCTGCTGTCAAACAACCTGCATGCTCTGGAGGTAAGTAAATAAATATGCGTATATTCTAGTACACTTACTGATTATGATTAATGTGTACTCAAAGTAGCGTTAATTTGCTCGATATGGAAAATTTGTATTCGGAGGACATAACTGAGGGGAAACCCCTCTGATCCAGATAATGTGTATTCAGAATAGCGGCGTCCCTTCGCTGACTTTATAATATACTAAAGTTATAGTAGTATTGTTGCCCTCCGTCGGAACTGAAGGGGAGGTTACACTATTGTAAGGAAATGACTGTTGCGCGTGCTCTGGTACAGACGGTTCACTACAATTGCGGATAGGGAAAAATGTCTCCCGATTAATAACGGGTCCTTGTAATTGAAGAAAAAGATAAAGAGGTCATGTTAAATACATAAACCTGTTCCAATTTAAGAGGAGTCCTAAGTTAGAGTTGCTAAGCTCTTCAACACTATTGAGTGCATAGTCTGAGGCTAAACATACATTGATGCTCTCTCACTAGATTACCACAGATGACTGTGGATCTGGAAAAGGATGCTTTAGGTTTCCAGAATCCTGCACTGACGACTGTAACTTCCTTGTGACGTACAACGCAACGGGTGGGGATAAAGTGGAGTTCGAGCTGAGCGGCAAAGGGACCTGGGTGGCAGTTGGATTTAGTGATGACCGTGAAATGGTAATATTATCAGACAAGAGAGAATGGCTAGGATAAAAGTCCAGCGATAAACCAGCATAAGATACTGGACATAAGCGCCATGCAATCATGCGTGTTTCATTTATACTGAAAATTTTGAAAAAAAATGTTATGAAAGAAAATGAAAGGATGAGTTTTGCAAAGCTGCAATTAGAATGCATTGGAAGTCAGTCGTGAAATCTTGCAGCAAAATCATGACAACCACATATGTATCATACAGTTCATTGTGATTAATACGCCCAAAATTGTCATTGGTGTCATTGTCCGTCGTAAAGCCAAATCTTAACAAATAACTGAACCGAAAAGTTCAGTCAATCACAAGAGCAGGACAACACCGCTGGCCAAGTCAACGTATAACTGCGCTTAGTTTTGCCTATGATTGGCTTAGAGGATGGAGTAAGTTTTCTAATACAATCAAAGAGTCGGTGCCGAATAAGGAAACCCACAGAAACTCGAAATACTTTCGAAAATATTGAAAATCTTGCCAAAAGATTTCACAAGAATTACTGAGTAAACATCATTAAGAGTATCATTGAAATTAGCAAACGGAGAGTTCTGACGTGTGCATTCGCAATTCAGTGGTTCTTTTTTATTATTTTGACGCTTTGTACCTCTTCTTTTTTATATAGCCCGATACAGACATTCTTCTTTGCGAAAGTACTACTGCACTCAGTGGTCATTATTATGCTGAAGAGAAGAGTCGTCCTACAAAGACTAATCCAGTAAGTGCCAGCCTACACCTTATGCCTCTGTCGAATTTCAAAATGAATTCAAACACATAGAAATGGTTTTTGTTCCTCTAAATTGAATGTAGTTATTTTCTGCTGATGATACAATGAAATTTGCTCGTACTACAAATGACCATAAGATTCATCTCCAGATTATTCAGGAAAATTTTTGTTTCGTACAGGATCCTGCAGCAGTGACGTTTCTTGAACAAGCAAATGAAGGTGGAATGGTCAAGTGCAGGTAGCTCTTTCCTTTATTGATACTATAACGTTCAATTTTCTCGTTCGTATATTATTTAATTACGGTTTAATCTAGGTATCAAGAGACGTTTGAGAACAGAATAATTACCCGTCATAACGCATAAGAAAAAACTAGACAGTTTTGTTAAAAGTCTCTGCATGGTCGTAACAGTTTTTGTCTCCTAACACTTAAAGAAGACATCACGATAACGCCTGTTGCTTTAGTTTTGAATTACACCTCTTGAAATTTTTCGCAAACTATGTCTGCCTACAACCGGTTTAGACTAATCATAAAACAAACTTTATATGGATTGTAATATCTATGTCTGTAATCACTTTTGTTTTCCAGAATTTCCAGGGATATCAATCCAGGAATCGCAAACTTGAGAAATTTGACTCAGCTCTGGTTTCTTTTGGGAGCAGTTGGGGACGGCGGTAAGATCAAGCCCGGACTCTTATTTCACATTTGTAAATATAAGTTGGAAGCGGGTAGCAAACACTTCATTGAGCATAGTATGATAGTTTTATCCACGAAATAAAGAAAACGTGCGTATGGCTACGACAAAGTCCCCTGGCAAACAGTGATACTTGGTATGTGAAGCTACTTCATTCATTCATTCACTGTTTTCATGTTTTCCCTCTACCTTGCCCCGCTAAATTATTCGAAGTTTCCAAAACTGAGAATTTGTAGCCGTTGGGTAGTCATTAGTTGGTTACATTATCCAATCTTCTCTCACTCATTTAGATGGAGTAATTAACTATCATGGTACCTCTGCTAATGGTCGCCAGTCTACAGGTTCCAGGGTCAACGTCACAAGCTCATCTGCATCGGATGCATCAGGGGGGGATAGCGGCAGAAATAACTTAATTGTCCATGGTAAAGTACACAGTGAATGAGTCACTGAAAGTTAAGCAAAGATTGTTCACACCGTCCTGCCTTATTGCTTTGAAACTGATAAGCTTCTCGTGCCTGATTTGTTCGTTGAAAGTTGTGTCTTTAGTATAAAGTGTAATTTTTGTGTAACGTTTTAAATTATGATGGAATGAGTTCTAGATTAAAATGATAATTTACAACAGGTTAGCAATGGAATCCTGTATTTGAAAAGGATCTACTCCTATCTCAATGATCAAATCTGACGAAGAACCCTAAAGATAGAGTATATTTCGGTATCATTGAAGACAGGATTTATTGACTAATTTTAGTTAGAAGTAGACTTTCATTACCATTTTCCTCATTGTAGGCGCCCTCATGACACTTGCTTGGATTCTGTTTGCTTTTGTGGGTTTGTTCATCGCGCGATACATGCGACAGGCCTGGGAACCAAGGGAATTGTTAGGAAAGAAGGCCTGGTTTACGGTTGGTATACCACTCCATGCTTTTATATATGAAAAGGCAAATTTGAAATTTTTTAGGAATGAAACACTGAGCAAACTTCGAAGATCACTCAGCCTTTCTTCTCAGACTTAAAGTGACTCACTTCTCTCCAGAATGGTAAAGTCACATAGGGAATGATGTTGATTAATTGACAGCTACAATTTTCTAATGTTGAGAGTTCCCATTTACCTTTATAACACTTATAACCGCATGCCGCTCGATGTTAACCTTGTTGAGGCCCTTTTAAATTCTGTAATCCGTTATTCAAATGATGAATGATCGGCCATAAGTGCCAGTAACTTTGTAATGCAGCAGTGATAAGCCTTACAGATTCATCGGCATCGGAACAACTCTTATCTTGACCGAAAGTATAAAATGTGTTTTCCGGGCCGAAAATGCTATCGATTTCTTTTTCTTCCTCAACAGGTTCATCGAACACTGATGACGACAACAGTCCTGTTTACAATTGCGGGAATAATTGTCATATTTGTTCACAAAAAAGGGTGGTCTTCGGTAAGCAGAGTTATCAACTGCAAATCAAATTGTAATATTGATGTTATTAATCCATATAGATAGACCAGCTTAGTGAAAGCAGGTGTGCAAAAAAACATTTCGTTATTTGTTTTGAGCTCCATTTTGAAAATAACTCATGTAATAGTGCTGAAAGGAAAAATAGGATTGCATTGTAATCATGAGAGGATAAGGTATGTAAACCATCTCTTCTTAGCACCTTAGCAAGCCCACAAAGCAAACACAATTTCAAATCAGGTGCGCCTCGATATGTCAGCTATTTCATTCATTTATTTATCAATTTTTTTAAAAATTTATTTTATGCTTGATTTTTTTCTTTTCATTTTTCTGTGTTTTAACAGACAGCTGGCGCACATCCATACCTTGGTATCATCGTCCTCGCTTTCGCAATTGCGCAGCCAATCATGGCAGCATTCAGACCACATCCTGGCGAGCCTAGGTACCTGTGTTCATCTTCAACTATTACATAAACAATCTGAATCCAAGGAAATTCATTCTGAAAAGCTGTAAATTATTTTTGTTTTTAGCTTGAGACGCTACTATTTGACAAGCCAAAAGTAGTATACTCACGATACCTTTTCTTCAAAAATATTTGCGCGACTGTTAGCCAAGTCGACGGTCTCAATTGTTGTTTTTCAGGAAAAAGAGCCTACGTATGGTTATGCAGGCTCGGTAGTTTTATTTTTTTTTTAGTTAAGTGATCGAGAAACGTAAATATTATAACGAGTATCAGATAATCAAGCAATGTAATCGAAAATTTTGATGTGTTAGACCTTCTCGAAAAGTCGGGTCACCCACCGAAATTGCTGTGATTTGCAAACTTAAATCGTGTTCAGCTAATATCCCGTAGATATCTCAACTGAAATTTTACACAAAATATAATTTATGCCGATAAAGATGAAACATGACGTTTAATTTCTTAATTTTTTTTTAACGCAGGCGCAACATATTTAACTGGGCACATAGATGTGTTGGTTTCACTGCACTGATTCTTGGAGGTAATTTCCGGCTACACAGCTGTAAATCAGCTGTTGTAAATGATTTAACGAGTTCTTGAACATTAGAATTCTTTCCACGAATTCAGAAACTAGAGACGAAGAGACTGAGCAATATGCAGATGAGTTTTTAAGACAAAAAAAAATAATCGATAAGATAATTGTTAACGGTTTTTTTAAATGCAGTTGAAACTACCTAGTCAGAAATAAACAGCAACGTTTGCTCGATATATTGAACGTTACTGTCTCTGCAGGGTTTAAACGATCGGGACGTATCCAACTTTAATTTTCTGTTTGCAGTGGCTACCATTTATCTTGGATTAAAATTAGTCGCCTTGGATAAGGAAGGACTCTATGCCGTGATTTCCTTCTACATTGGGGTGTTTCTTGTGTTCATGTTTGAGCTGTATCTCATAGTGTCCAAAAGGAATCGTGAAAAGAAGTCTGGACCGATAAACAACGGAGGTGAGAATTGGCTCCCTTACCCTTCTTTTTCGGTCAGGGGGTAGTGATCTTAATGACAGGGTATCATTTGCACAAGGTTAATTAGAAGGGGTGGAGAAGGTGGAAGTAAAAAGTTGCTCTGAATTCATTTAATATGATTACAGGGAGGGGGGGGGGGGGAATTCGGGGTTCCGTTTAAGGATCGGACCTTATCATCTTCCGTAAAGCAGTCGCACATATGTTCTATACCCGTGGGTCAGGAAGGGACTATTGAAGGGCTGAAGGCCATGAACTACATTTTTTTTCTACCTCTAGATAATGAATCAGCAATGTCAGAAGTTGAGTGTCCATAAAAATTTTAGCCTTGGTCGTTTAAAATTTAATTCATATTTGTGACAGCTTCCTGCTTACCTACAAGCAGGTAATGTAATGATTTTTTTTTTATTTTCAAACTACCCAGGAAAGTAACTCGTCAAACATATTTTAAACTTATTACATACAGATTTTCCCATGGACCAACCTGGACAAGCCAATCGAGCCCCACCCGAGCTTGAAATGCCAACCAAGGTGCGTGAGTTCTGTGCATCCTCATGATGGAACAGTCATTATTTGTCTCCTTGAACGGGGGGGGGGCGGGGGGCGGGCGGGTCACAAATGACAGGCACTAAGTAAGGGGGGAAGGAGGCATGAAAAATAAATAAATAAATAAAAATAAAAATATTTGAAGCGGTTGGATCATTTGATTACCGTTTTGATTATCTTGTACTTTCAGCTGAGTTTTCTTGTTCAAACAACAACAACAGAAGTAAGAAATATATCATATATCCACAAGAGTTTATTGTGACGGCTTCGTCCCCCAACGCGTCTTTAATTGGCATTCTCTTGGACGCATTCTTCCACCGACTCGTGAATAACATCCTCCAGTGACTCTGCTTTTTTCGTTTAAACTGGCTACTATTACCTGCACATTACGGGCACTGTTTGTATTAAAAAGGCCTTTGTCTAGCAGCCGTAGCAGAGGGTAGAGATGAAGAAGCCTGACCAATTTTCTGATTAACTCAGCATCTAATTGTGGTTGCGATGCTTGTAAAATTATTGTTATTTTTGATTGCAGCTAGCTCTCTTAGGGTGAGATTTTCGATAAGCAAGCATGCTCTCTGTTGTAAACTCTTCTCCTTTAATTTTTCACCTCTTTTTTTTCTCTTTTCTCCTGCACGATTGTAGATCTTTACAAATGCGTGATGGAGACTTCCTTTTCAGTTGTCAGCTTATTTGAGGCTTTTTGAAATTATTCGTGGAGCATCTTTTCTCGATCGTTCTTGAACTCCCTGAAAATATTTCACCTCGTCATTTCCAAAGGGTTTTGAACTATGGTCTTTTCTACAAAGGACTTTTCACTTGCTGTCGATGAATGATAACAAATCTGGAGTAATTTACAGTCATTTACAGTGGCCAAGCTGGACTCGCACTTGACAACGATATCACTACTTTTTCAACCATCCACGCCTACCATGAATTTTGTGGTGTTTTGGCAAACTCCCCACTTCTCGTTCCTCAGACGATTCTTTTCCCTATTTAACATATCTTTTATTTTTGTGTCTAACTGCCATCGTGTTTACTGTTTATAGGGAGATATCGTTTGAATCCGCCTCGTTTACTACAAAGTGCAGATTCATGAATCTGCTTAACAACACTGTAGTAAATTTTCAACCTATCGGTATGTGTGGATAGGGGGATAGGAATGAGATCGTGACATTGGCTTTTTGTAGTGGATGGGAGACAAGAAGAAGAAGGGGGCGGGGTTCATGAATTCCTCCTCATCCCCCCTTTCCCCCCCCCCCCCCCCCAGGCGATAGGTAATAAGTGGTCCCTAGTCCCTAAAAATTCCATGCAAGTGATTACAAAAAATTCATGTGCTTCCACTCACTGATGAAGACTATCAAACACGTGGCACGTGATGCTTTGTCCAAAGACTAAACCGTTTTTCCGTCGAGGTTTAGGGTATGGGAATCTACGGTCCAAGACCAGTGAGCCTACGAATTTTCCGACTGTCATTTTCCTCGAAAAATTGTCATTTGCTATCGATAGGCCTATTATCTATTTGCAGCTCTTGAAATTATAATAGAAATTAATGTCCATTTTTATCTATTTACAGGAAAAAATGATTCGTACCATGATGTTCGTTTTCGTTGTACTTCTTGGAATTAGCGTGGCATTAACCATAATCCTGCTCATGGTGCTTAAATAGTCTACATCACAGCTACTGTAAGTTTGCTTTCAATTATAAATAGCCATAATTTCAAGGTGTAGTAAGAGGATGATTCCTAGGAAGATAATTAGAATGCTGGAAAATTTCATTAAACTTTTATACTTATCAAGTAGTATAAACTCGTCATTCAATGCAATTACATAACTAATTTCGCGATTGGCACGACTTGGAACTCCGTTACGGGTCAACGGAGTAAAAGAGTGCCAACAAAAGTGTTAATAGCAATTGTGAGTGATGTAGATTTTTTCGCAGTTTACAGATCTGAAGACATATCTTTTCATCCAACCACAATACACGTCATGTTCCCTAATGAACCATTATCTGTTCTATCTTTTAAAATTTAATTTTGTTATACATGCACATATTTTTTGAGAAAAACAAAACTGCGATTTTATAACAAAGCTTTCCCTAAATCTAAAAGGAAGCACCAACACTAATAAAGAGTTAACAAAAATCGATTTAAAGAATTTCCTTAACGATGTTCATTACGTTTACTTTCCTTAGCGAAAGAGGTTTTCTGTCTTGATAGATGAACGCCTGAGCGACAAATAACGACGAAATTCTGTTGAAAATATGCATACAAATTATTACCACGGTTGGACTTTGTAACAGTTGTCGATCGAAAAGTAGTCAGTCTGTCTGAGTTCAGTTGCCTGTATAAATATCACAACAAATCTCTCCATGTCCTAATGAACCCGTGTCATCGACGATAAAAGATAAAAAAGCGCAGGGTAAACTTCACTTTGAATAAAACAAGATACAAAAAGATGTTGGCATATCATGTTTAAACAGGCGACTTCGAGTGAGTTAACCATGCTTTAATCACTAATCTTATCTTTTTCTTTTTTAACAGACTCTGAAAGCTTTATTTCGTGGACCTGGACGAAAACAAAAACCAGTCTCCTCATTTGAATGAATTTCAGACGCGAAAATTTACTTATTGTTGTAGAAATTAATTAAATTGGTTTGCCACCAAATTGTGAGATCATATTTTTTTCAGTCTTCATTTACCTCTGAATAATTGTGGGAAATCTAGTTTCAATACCTTTTTAAAGATTCACAGTTATATTTGCACTGCTGCCTTTCGCGCCTGACATCAACAGGTACCCAGACCACAACCAAATAATATTCCGTTAAAGTTTTTCCGCTCCGAAAGTTCTTCATTGACTGTTGATTGACAACAGGTATGAAATGAGGTCTACTTTTGCTAACTGGTATCGAACTAATACGTTGCAAAGGTAGTTTGCTGTAAATTTGAGCAAAGCAAAACTCTCCCCTGAATTCGAAGTCTGTCTAAAAGAAGTTTAGTTTTACATTTAATAGTTTTAATATAGACAGAACATCACATGAAAACATCTTAACGCCCGTGCTCAGTTTTTCTAAAGAAACGAAATCGCTCTCAACACATGCTCAGAGATCGCTTTTGATAAGTGAGAGCAGGTGTAGGTAAACAATTGTTTTCACATTGTCACGTCGTGTTCTTTATTTATTTTTACTTTTTTCAATTGTTAAGACTTGCTTCTTCGTGTAAAAATTAAATAATAGTAATTAAAAAGGACTTTACAGTTTCGTTTTCTTTACGTGTTGAACATAGGTTAATATACATTTGGTACCAGTACTAACAACGGAATCGAGAGGTTTCTGACGAATTCACTCTATAGTTCAACTTTACCGCACCGTGCTATGATTCAAATATGTTCCGCTAACATATTCGATTCTCGAACAGTCAAGCAGACTGACATAATATTCGAGTTGAGAGTTTGCCTCTACATTAGCGCTGTTTTTGAAGATTTCACCTGATAGGTGTCGTAACCTGCTAATCAATGGACCACCAAATTTCGCAGAACGACATGTCAGTAATAATTTTCTTATCTTTGGTCTTTTACCAATCCAATTTCACAAATTTTATTAATTAGTAGCATTGTGCATGGCTGATTTTAAATATGAGTAAACTGGAAGAGGACAGAACGTATTGTCAGATTGGTCTTGTTTAATAAAAAAAGCTTTTGATAAATGGCAAGTCCTTTTAGACGTCACACGATTTATTAATATTGTTTTGTTTTCCCGTGATAAATCGAATCTGCATTTATTTCCATTTAAAAGAAGATGCAAATATACACGCCCCAGTTTCACGATTTACTGGTGTACAATATAGTTATTAAGAGAACATTAGGCGACGAACTACTCGGGTCATGCTGAACGAAACTGTAAATAACGGTAAGTAAAACTTGGGATAAAAGAGAAATATTTAAGAAGGGAATTTCTATTTTTTTGTGATTCTTTGGCGAGAAATCCCAAATACAAAATATAATCGGATAGGGAATGACACCTTAGACTCAAAAGATATCATAGCGCGTTTTAATTTTTGAAACTTATTTTGTTTTGAATCGTGGTTAATTTTACTTTCTAAAAAGGATGACCGTGGATGATGAATAACGCAGAGCTTTTTCGTCTCGCATAGTCACTTTATAGATATGTTACTAAAAACGCATGGTAACTCAGTGAGCCAGAACAACAAAATTTTAATTTAGTAAAATTAAATGATGATGGTCCAAGTTAATTTTTTTTCCAAAAAACTTTGGTTGAGCACTCTTCGTTTCCGGCTTTCAAGTTAAATCTGAATGAAAGCTGTGAGAAATTGTTTTGATCGGATATTTATCTTAGTCGGATCCTTTGAGGATAGCCAAGAAAACAGATTACTACGTAAGGAATGGAAAGGCTGTCAAGACATAAACATGGCTGTGAGAGTAAACATTGGGATGAAATTATATTTCCTCCATATAAACTGCACATGTACAATAATTCCCGTTGAAAGAGTTGCTTTGCATTTTACTCATTTTATTTATCTTTTTAGCGGATATTGTTTTCAAGATACGCGATTACCTTTTCTCAGTCAAGGATGTGTTAATTTCTAAAACAGGTTTTTGTAACTGAATTTATTCAATTCAGTACATTTAATTCTTTCATTACACTCTTCAGGGAGTCAAAATGCTTCCTTGGAGGCCCCTTGGTATGGATATGACGTTGGTGAAGTTCTACAGATAAGTCTCACGGTCGTGTATTCTGTCACGTTAATAACCGCTCTGCTGGGAAACCTGATTCTACTCCGCATAATTAGGTTGCGACGTCCTCCGACTACCGTATCGATTCTTTTATCCAGTATGGCAGTTTCGGATCTTCTTACCGCCCTATTTGTGATGCCCTATACCATCTGTTACTTATACGTGCAACAAGAATGGTTCCCAGGTGTCACTGGCGTTATAACTTGCAAATTTATTAATTTTGTCGTTGGTACTACAATTGCTGTATCCATATTTGCATTGTTGACGATTTCCTTGGAAAGATACATGGCTGTTGTGAGGCCCATGTTGTATCCGTCGTTCATAAAGAGACCTATTTTGTTATCCGCTGCCATATGGGTTTTCTCCGCCTTGTTCATGAGTTTTTATCTTTATATTCACGATACATACACTATAGACGGGGTTACTCTATGTGTCATGGACTGGGAACCTTTATTCAGCAACGAGTATGGTCCGAAATTCTTCTTCTCCTCAGTGGCCGCTATTCTTTATGTTGTTCCATTGTTTATCATTGCTATATTATCGTGCTTGATTATTAAAAAGCTCAACAGAACAAAGACAGCTCTTAGCAGTGATCAGCCGGCAGAACACCTGTCCGACACTTTCAGAAAGCGCCACCAGCGCGTCATGCGAATGTTAATCGTTATTGTAGTGCTGTTTATTGTGTGTTGGCTTCCGGTTCACGTAATACACATCTTGGTATACTTTTATGGAGAAATATACATGTCTCTGCCTCCATCTCTCCCATTATTCTTGTTTTGGGTCTCACATCTTAATAGTGCTCTAAATCCATGTGTGGTCATTCTGTTGAACGACTCATTTAGGAAATCTTTCTGGGTCATTTTTCACAGTCTGTGCAGAGGGAATCATATACCCTCTTCCAATATTAACAAGACCTGCAGGAATGGATGCTTACCACGCAGAAGGGCAAGGATGTACTCGGTTGTTCAGTGGAGCAAGAGGGATAACACGACGCCACTTACCGTTTTTGAGGTCAAACACGAATAGAATACTGTCAGTCAGGAACTTTATCACCTGAATGTATGGTTACCACTGAAATAAAAGCAACTCTCGAAATAGATAAAGTTATGAATCAAAATATATCAACGGAGATACAAATGGGTTAAATATAGGTTAAATTTAAAAAACTCTGTGAAAAAGCAAACAGTAAGTAGTACATTGGAGGGCAATGGAAATATTATTGATCACCCAGTTATCGTAGTTTCCACTAAATTTGTCAAGGGAGACGTGTGAGTCGTAGTAACACAATTCGCTATTGATTTTCAACCATACCACTGAAAAAAATGACGGAAAAAAGACAACCAAACAACCCTACAAAACAATATCAGAGTTACACAATCTAGAAGAGAGTAGCTTTACCTCTCCTTTCGTTTTTCCACTTTAACTTTCGCATGTTCTTAGATAAAAGACGGCGATCAGAAATAAACCTCAAAGATAACATAGTTTGATATTAACAAACATGAAAATTGTACCATATTTAAATATACATCTATTAACTCTAGCGTAGGAATTACTTTTCGATGCATTTTTACATAATCTGTAAAGTTCTTGTACCAGATAAAGGTATGAGTGTATTTATCTGTATAGTAACTGAGTAGTAAGGGACCTCATCAGCGATGAACAATCAATTCGCACTTGATAATCAGCTTGGTTTTATTTACAGTTTCAATCACCTATTCTATAACATGTTTCAATAGATAATACTCATGTTTTTTTGTGCCTGACTCCTTATGAAACAGTTTTTTTTTTAAATTTACAATCAAGGTCCCTCGAGCATTTAACAATATATAATGAATCAGTATATGCTATTTAAACGGAAAAGTGTACAAATGCACTTATAGGTTACTGCTGTTAATTAGAAGCAAATCTGCTCATTCAATGTTCGAAAGAAAAAGCGAATAAAAAATTGAAATATGCTTCCACTTTACCCTTATTCTAGTCAATTAGGGGCAATGCTGGTGCTGAGTCAAACTAGAGTATCACTCTCATGATACATGTCCTCCCTTGTGCTTCCTCGTTTACTTCCAAGAAGTGTAATGCGAGAAGCGGTAGCACTTCCGCTTATGGCCTCTGCTCTTATGGAAGACAAGCGATCACTTCCACTTGAAAAACGTCCACTGAGCCTGTGATAAATCTGATGCTTAAATCCTTCACGAAAAATCTCATTGAATATGAAATAAAGGCACGGGTTGATAGCAGTGTTGGCATGCGTCATAAAAAAAAAGGTAAGAATCAACGAGGTCGGTAAACAACTGAAGGCTTCAAAGTTGAACGTCACCAGAAAGTGATTGACGTGCGCAGGAAGCCAACATAGGGCAAAAATTGTTACAATGGTGACCAACATAGAAATCACTTTGCGTTTCTGTATTTCGATTCGTTTTTGGTTTTTGTCGATGTGCTCGCCAGGTGCCTTTCTTCTCCACATATGCAGCACAATCTTTGAATAGAGTACGGCCATGGCGAGGAGTGGAATGAGGTAGAACAGGACAAACCGGACAATCATTTCGTACATTGTTATTTTATGAGAAGCGAGAAGATCTTCCACCCATCTTGGAGCACATATGACTTGACCTGACTCATTGTAAAGCTTGTACTTGTAAATTTCACTGGCAAACACCAAGCCCGAAACGAGCCAAGTCAAGGTAATCGCCACTAGAGTCAGTTTTAGAGACAATGGCCTCTTCATCACGTGCACAATCGCCAGATAGCGGTCAAAGGTCATAACTGTCAACGTAAGGACAGATGAACCAATAGAAATAAAGGCCAGGAATGGCAGACACTTGCAGAGGATAACACCAAATCTTCCTGGAAACCACTTTGCACTTTCATATAAGTACACTAGGGACAATGGGATAGCAGTAATGACGTCTAGAATGTCAGCGGCTGCCATGTTGACAATTAACATATTGAAGGTCGTTTTGCATTTTGGGTGACAGTGAATCACAAAAATTATCATTGAATTTCCTACCAACGCCACAAGGAACACGATGAAATAGGCGATGGTCAAACCAACCTGAGTTGAAAATGTGGCCGGTTTCGGAACACAGTGTAACATCGAGTCACCAGACCCGTTAAGTCTAGTTTCTAAAAAGATAGGAGATGGATCAGTTAGAGAATATTAATGGGCATCTTTTTTCAGTTACGTTTGTGGTGAACGACATGTACCGGGACAATGAAGAAATAGTTAAACCTATCTTAACTTCACTTGTTATACTAAAGAATAACGCGCGACTTTAGTCATAAGTCACCAAAGGTCGCAACGTTCTCTTGAAGATAACGAAAGCGGTTAATCTTTTCGCCGAGCCTAGCAAGTAAGTGAAGCATATTGTGAGTAAGGGAGAGTAATAAATTACAAAAAAATGAGTTTCATTGAGTTTGTCCAAGGCCGCTTTCGAGGTCAGCAAAAAGAAGCTGCATTTCAACAAAAATCAATTAGCAAAATATCACTTTCAACGTAACGTCAGAATTATGTGGCGGCTTTTCTTTTCAAAGGGTGGCACTTCAATGGTCTTTATCTGAGCCTGTAAGCTAGTGTCTCGGTTTCTTTCTTTACAAAAGAGACATCCTGAGATCGATTATCACAGACTGACAGGTTGAATGAGATCTTATATTGTTCATTTGCTCTCAGCTGCGTAGCTTCGTCTTGATGAAAGTTTCTCTTTGTTAAGCTCTTAAGGGGCAATTCGAAATAGTAATCTACTCCGAACTGTTTTTAAAACAGTTCTTCCAAGTCTAACGACCGATCCAAAGAGGAGAGATTCCCACATGATATGCATTTATCAAAGGAGACGTCCACATTCTCAAAAACGAGCTATAAAGCTGTCTTATTGCACGATTCTGTTATATTTCCATTAAA